GATGGGTCAACATATGCCAATCAATAAATATGTTATACCACATTAACAAAATGAAGGATAAATCATATGATCAACTCAGTTGATGCAGAAAAAGCATTTAATGGAATTCAACATCCTTTCATGACAATTTTCAGCAAATTAGGTATGAAAGAAATGTACCTCAACATAATAAAGGCCAATATGACAGGCCCACAGCTAACATATTCAAGGGTGACAAGCTGAAAGATTTTCTTTAAAGGTTGGTAACAAGACAAATGTGCCCACTCTCACCACGTTTATTCAACATAGTACTGGAAGTCCTATCCAGAGCAGTCAGGCAAGAAAAAGAAATAAAGGAATCTAAATCAGAATGGTAGAAGTAATATTGTCTTTATTTGTAGGTGACAAGATCTTATATATACAAAACCCTAAAAATGTCACCAAAAAACTGTTAAACTAAATTCAGTAAAGTTGCATTATACAAAATCAATATATAAAAATCAATTACATTTTTATGCACTAACAATGAACTATCTGAGAAATAAATTTTAAAAACAGCCCCATTTATAATAGCATCAAAAAGGATAAACTATTTAGGAATGAATTTAACCAAGGAGGAGAGAGACCTATACACTGAAGAGTAAAACACCGATGAAAGAACTTGAAGAAGACACAGTTAAATGGAAGTAAACTCATGTTTATGGGTTAGAGAATTAATACTCAAAACAATCTACAGATTCAGTGCAATCTCTATTCAAAATTCCAATGACATTTTTTACAGAAAAAGAAACAAACAATCCTGAAATTCATATGGAGCCACATAAGACACCAAATACCTCAAGCAATCTTGAGCAAGAAGAACAAAGCTGGAGGCATCACACATCCTGATTTCAAGCAGTGTTATAAAGCTGTAATAATCAAAACCATAAGTTATTGGCATAAAAACACACAGATCAATGGAACAGAATAGAGGACTCAGAATTAAGCCCATACATATATGGTCAACTAATTTTTGACAAAGGCCCTAATAATGCACAATGTGAATGAAATAGTATTGCCAATAACTATGGGATCCACATGCCAGAGAATGAAATTGGACCCTTATCTTACACCATACACAAAAATAATCTCAAAATGGATCAACTCAAAAGACTTAGATGTAAGACTTGAAATCATAAAGCTTTTAGAAGAAAACTTAGGGAAAGCTCCTTGTCATTGGTCTCTTTAGAGAGAATTAGGAGGAAAGAAGAAATGTAGAAGATTCTTCTATAATCTAGGTGTCACCAGGAGCCTCCACACTCTTGAATTCTAGCTAAGATTGCCTTTTGTTCTTTTCCTATTTCTGCAAATCTTGTCTCCTAATTACCTCTCCATTAAATAATTTAGGGTTGTTTATTTCTAATCCAACATTCATTCAAACTTGAGGCATGACTGCTTCTTTTCTCCCAAAATTCAATTGTAAGAGTCAACAAAAGGCAACTTGTAGGGTCAAGTATCTACAACTGTGTGTGGTAGATTTTACTGTTGACTGAAGTATGTGCGTGGGAGCATACATTGCAGTGCTACTTAGAAAATAATCTAAAATCCAATATTGGCTTCCTGGTGTCCAGAAATTCTCTTGTCCATGTCTACCAACTTGGATCTCAGTGTTTCATCTTGTTATTCAGCTTTCTCTCCTGCTTCTCCTCTTCCCAGATGTGACAAAAGTTCCTTGTATTTTATTATTATAAAGAGCTCTAGCTTTTATTATAAAGAGCTCTAGCTTTTATTATTATAAAGTGTTCTAGCACTCATCCTCCCCCACAGTTCACACTTTGCATAACTCAAGATTTATTAATGTGCTTTGTTAAAAAATGGTTCAAGTATTCCAAGTGTCACCTTTTCTTTTTTCTCCGTCCCCAGTTAGTTTCTATAGGAGCAGGGAGAGAAATGTAGTTTATTTCCCCAGAGGTAAGAATTATGACTTTACCTTAGTAGACAGGAGGGTACAATTGATTTGGGCTTAATTAGCAATTGTAACAAATTCTCCATTATGTTAGTGCCCCAGCATAAAGACTTGGGTAACGCTAGTTTACTAGAAGGGCTACTGAAAAAAGACTCAAGAGACCAGGTTCTTATCCTGATTCTGTCACTAGCAAGTTATGATTTGGGGCGGGGTGGTAAATAAGTATCTTACTGGGCCTGAATGAACGAACAGTCTCTAAATTCCCTGTCAATCCTGCAACTCAATGATTTGTCTGGGAGTTTCTCTGGTGGGTAATTCTATAAATGCAGCTATGGCTGGGATTCCCCTCTTCACAGGTGGGTGAACATCTCACCACTCCAGACTGTATACCAACCTCTCCCTGGCCAAGTATTCAGTCAACGTCTGCCATCAAAAAGCAATAGAGGTTTTTTATTGCTTTGGAGCCAATCCTGGTTCTTTCAACTCATGACTTCCGTTTATTTGGTTTCTGAATTGGCTTCCTTGTTTGTAAACTGGCATAATAGTATCTACCTTGGAAGACTCTGAACATTTAATATAATAATGCAAGTGAAACACACTTAGTATGTGTCTGGCACATAATAAGTGCTCAATAAATGAAACTGATGGTCATTAACACCATGTTTGTTGTAAAGGGGCTGGCTAAGTGTCATGGCAAACTATATCTGGGTCTGCTGAGACATCTTAGTGTGTGTGGTCAGATGAACTCAGTTTATTTTACAGTTTATTGGTTTTGTTGAGTGGAAAATACAGCCTGAGAGGGAGAGCTGACTGGCTTTAGCAGCAATTTTTTTTTAAAGCTGTGTGCAGGAAGAGGAAGGCAGATGGATTCCAGAGTCAGGAGGAAAGGGGATTTTGAAACAATAAACATGACAAAGGGGGGTGTGATTCAGTTTCTGTACAGCAAATAGCAACATACATCCTTTTTCTGTCTCCATGAATCTTAAATTTATTTATTTATAAAACTGAATATAAATAGCACTGTGGAGTGATATCTCTTTTTGGAATTTATCAAACTGTGGAATTCTGCTCCATGGTGGGCATACGTATAAGGGCAGAGACCATGTGAGGAAATCCTTCCACTTAGAACACATATTCTGAAGATATTAGGCAGATGATCATTGTAGGTAGTGACTCAGCACCTGGGGTAGGAGACTTTATCATCTGTGCTCTTGATGTTCAAACCCAGATCTGGCCGATGACCCTGTGAAAAATGGGACAGTTTTGCTGTTATCACAGACCTGCCCCCATCTGGTTGGCACTTTGCAGGGGTACAATATATACCTATGGTAAAGAAACAGCTTCTGAGGAGAGCCTGCATTTACCATGGAACAGTGCCCTCTGCTGTTTCTGAGGGAGCCATTCAGCCATAGTCAGATCATGAGGGAAGAGTGCCCTGCTCCAGAGACAAAGCAAGCTGCTCCTTGTTTGCAATGGTCAAGGTACTGGGAGGCCAACTCCTGGCACCTGCAGCCAGTCTCAACTGTAAATATTCAGCAGGAGAATCAAGACAGCCCAGCCACAGCAGCTGACCTCCCCTACATCTGTTCCTAGGCTCTAATCCCACACTGCATGTGAATGCTCCTTCCCTATTTTCGCTGCAAACACAGAAGAGCTTCCATTAGTTTTGCTCCTTAGCAGAAGGAATTTTTACAACAGTGATTTTAACCATTGAAGCTTGTCTTTAGAAAACTTCTGCTTCTCAGTATTATAAAATTAAAGGAAGCACAGTCAATGGCTGCAGTGAAGTAGTCATGTAGAAGAGAACAGCAGTTCACTGTTGGAAGTTTACACTGCTAAGGGATCAGCCTTGTTTCCTTTCTTTCTTTTTTTCCTTCCTTCCTTCCTCCCTTCCCTGCTCCCCCCTCCATCATCATCATCTTTTTAATAAAACCATCTAAAGTTGCCAGAATCTCCGTCTACAGGAATGATGTCACATAGTGGAAACTTTTTTTTGCTGACTCACTTTACATTCTGGGAACAACTGTTTTTGCTGGTTCTCTCCACTCTCTGAATTCTCATTTTGTATTCTGGGTGTGACCCTGAATGATATAGTCAACATTTACCTTTACTTTAACCAACAACAAGGGCAATTATGGACTTCAAGATGTTATTAGGGATTTGTGTCCTTCCTAACAACTTTTGAACTGTTTTCTCAGCATTATTTCACTTAGCTAGAGCAGAGAAAACATAGTGATGAATAATGAAAGATGCATGAAAGGAAAAATTTTTTTGTTTTCTTAAGTGACTCTGAAATCAAAATGTGTGAAAATACTTTTTCTTTCATAATTCTAAGTCTCAAATTCATGAGTGCAGAGGAGTGGATTTCTTGCTCTATCATGTGGCAGGACAGTGGTACATGGGAGCTGGCCATACCTTATCCTCCCCTTGTGCCAAGAACGAAGTCTGGTTTAATGAAACACCTACTAAGGCCACACCTACTGGGCAGAAACTGCCAGATTCCACTTGACGTAATTGCCAGGAGGAAAGGATTTTGTTTTCTCTGAGGCCTGGGGTTAAGAAAGAATTTACTCATTCTAGGCAATTTACCAGATTAAGAAAGTTGCTTAATTTTTTCTTTCCATTTGGTTACTTCTGTTTGAAATATTTATCTGTGGTACAAGATGCCTTTAAGCCTTTCATTAAAGGATGATCAGCTGATTATGGGACAGGGATAGGCAATTGACCTCAGCCAATACAGATTCTTTGGTCTTTCCTGCTGTAGCTATTGGAAAAGACTGATTGTGCTGAAGTTGCTAATCTGGTAGTATAGGATTTAGGTTATTGGCAGAATATTGCCACTTAAAGGAGCAATGCCCATTCAGAGAAAGGAGGGAGAGAGATGAAGCCCTGAGGACACTGGTGAAACTTCTGGATTCAGCCATGCCTGAAACCTCAGATTTTTAGTTCCATAAGGCAATATCTTTTTTTATTTGCTGTAATTTGTAAGTTAGCTTAAGTTAAGGTCACTTGCTGCTATAGAGTTCTAATTATCAGTAGTGAGCCATCTGCATTGCAGAGATCCAGTCTCTTACATTTTTAAGATTAACTAGAAGTATTGATGGACTCTAACTTTGTTTAGCATCGGTGACATTATTCTGAAAATGGTCTACTTTGTTTACTATTTCATACTATTTAGCTTATCCTATAGCCACTGAAATCTATTGACAGAGCTGTTTACTGGGCAAGGTCGATCTTGGAAAGGCAACATGGGAGGAAAGGTAATCCGTAGGCAAACCTCAAGGGAAAAACTGAAGAAAACATCTTCCCTCTACAAGTTCCACCATCTCCTAGTGTACACAGTCAGGTACCACTTGCCTTCTTTTTCCAAGGATGTTTTTTGGGGATTAGTGGGGCAACAAGTCCTCAGTCCGAAGTGTGAGAGATGCAGAGAGGAAGCTTCTTAGCCTCCACAAGGTGCTCCTGTTCAGTATCTTGGGTAGTATGTCGATTAGGAGATCTGGATTTATGAAGCTTATGTGGAAAAACAAGTAGCCCAGCAGTGTGATGAAAAATAGGGTGATGAAAAAGAGAAACTGAAAAATCCTGAAAAGAGAAAGCCAAGAAACTGTTAGCCAGATGTTAGAAAACCAGGAACAAAACAGTAAGTCATACCTAAATGCACACCTGGTTCCTTCTTGATATTCAAATGTCTCCCACTAAATCTTGTCTCCGTTCCCAGCAACCCCTTGTAAATGTGGTCCTTCCCTAGTGCTGGCTTGCTAGTTACTGTCTTCCATCACTGTGTTTTATTTTCTTTTAGTATTTATCATTATCTGAAATTATCTTGTGAAGTAGTCACACCGATTTATACCCCACTAGCAGAGTATACATTTCTATGGATCTACACCCTCTCCAACACTTACCATCAGATTTTTAAAGTTTCACTAATCAAATGGGTGTAATTTCTCATTATGGTCTTGATTTGTATTTCCCTGATGAACAGTGATGCTGAATATCTGTGCATAGGTTTATTGGTCTTCTGTGTTCCTTTTGCCCATTTATCTACTAGGTTGTTTGAGCTTTTCTTACTAAATGGTAAAAATTCTTTATATGTTCTTGATATGAATCCTTTTCCATGTGTACTTTGAATAACTTCCCTCTACTTTCTAACTTTCACTTGCTCTAAGTGTTGAAGAGCAAAAGTTAATAATTTTTAATCAAGGCTAGTTTATCAACCTTTCCTTTAATTAGAATCAATCCTTTTTATGTCGTGTTAAAAATCCATGCCCTATACCAAGGTCTGAAAGATACTTCTATCTTCATTGAGAGTTTGTAGCATTTAAAAAATATGTTCACAAATTCTTTGATACTCCTCTCATTATGAGATTTCCCTTCATTGGGATGTGGACTGGACTTAATGGCTCATTTCTAAAGAATACAATATTGTGGAAGTGACGTGACAGTGTATGACTTCCTAGACTAGGTACTAAAGACACTACAGCTTCTTCCTTATTCTCAGGAGAAAACCAGCTGTCATATTGGGAGGCTTCACAACCAGCCCTGTGGAGACGTCCATGTGATGAGGAACTGAGAGATCTCTGCCAAAATCCAGCAAAAAAGCCAGTGTGAAATAGGTCCTGTAGCACCAGCCAAGCCTTCTAATTACTGTAACTTTGGCCAACATCTTATCTGTAGCCTCACAACAGACCCTGAGCTAGAAGTACCCAGCTAAATGACTCCAAGATTCCTGACTCACAGAAACTATGGGATGATGGATGTTTATTACTTGAAACTAGTAAGTTTTTGGGTAATTTGTTAGGTGGGAATAGATAACTCATGCTGAATTTTAAAGATTCCTTTCTTTCTTTTTGTGGACATTTAAGTCTTTAACACATTGGGCTTGCTTTTTATATATGCTGAATGTTAGTGATCTGATACCATTTTTTGTCTTATTTGGATAACGTTTGTCCCTACCATATTTTTGAACAATTCTTCCTTTCCCCTATGACATATAATTATTGTTACATATCAAAGGTCTAAATGTGCACTGTTTCTAAGCTTTTTTTTCGTTCCATTTCATTGTTCAGTTTTCCTAGTCTGGTCCCAATAGCACACTATCATAATTATTGTAGCTTCATAGTAAGTTCTGATATCTGAAATGGCATATTCCCCACCTCTTACTTTTCTTTAAAATTTCCAGGTTATCTCTGACCCTTTACTCCTCCAAATATAGTATATTTTAGAATCATTTCATTCAATTGCATGAAACATCTTTTGGGGAGTTTGATTGGAATTGAATTGACTATTTCTCCACTGGAGACAACTGATATATTTCTGGTATTAAGGCTTCCTATCCATGATCATGGTATTTCTCTTCTTTCATTCATGATACTTTTAATATTTCTTAATACATTTCTCTAAATTTCCCTATGGTGGTCTTGATTTCTTCTTTAAATGATGAATTTTTTTGCCCTTGTTGTGTTACTATGATTTGCACGAGCAAACCTCCACTGTTTCCTTCCTACATTAACCTTATCCGGCTGTTCTGGGCTGCCTCCAGCCCCAGGACAAATTCATTACCACTTGCACTCAGTAGTCAGAGAGAACCCCTTCCCCACCAGTTCTCTGAAGTTTTTCTCTAGAGTTGATCTTAGAGCCCGGATCCAGCATCCATTCTAGTCAAGTATCTTAGAATTAGAATCAGAAGCCCTTTACAAACCTCCTTCCTCCTTCCTACAAATCTCCTTGAAGCTGGATACAATATTCATAAGGAGGTTGTGGGTGACATTCCCAGGGAAAATCTTAGGAATAACCAACTTTTTAATCTCTTGAGTTAACAACCAGCCTACCCGTGCCTCACAGAATGGTCGAGTAAAACAAGAGGAAAGGTGTTTGTAGGTTGGTGATCTAAACTTGTACATTCTCCTCCAGATTACCAACTGAAGGCAGACAGCCCTTGGGAGTCCACATGGGCGAATCCATGCTGGGCACTGGTGTTAAAAGTATAGGTGAAGGCAGTTGTAGGATTTCTAGGAAAAATTCTACTAGTTGTTCCAGAACACTATATTTAGGGACACCAAAATATGTAGTACTTCATTTACCTTGTATGAAGGGATATCCCCCTTAAGCCAATATTCTAGACCATTGGAAATTACCTTTAAACACCAATAATTTTATGTTAATCATTTTGATGGAACTCTTTCTAAATCATATTTTATACCACTTTGAATATATGTTTCTCTATGCCTTCTTAAACAGATTATATTGAACATAATTTGACCTTTTCTTGAAAATGCAAGGACTTCATGAAAACAGATCTTTGCTGTCACAGTGATTCCTTCAGAACTAATATGCACTCAGTTGTTTGAATCTTGAGTTCTTAGGCTAACAAATATTTTTGAGCAATTATGATGTGCTGGATACTGTTAGGTGCTTTATCTTTTTTTCACAATCATTTTCTCTTTTATCTGTTATTAGGCAGCAGTATATTGCATTTAGAAGTTCTCTCCCTATGTATGTATATATTTTTCATCTCAGTGGTAAAGAGTTGACATTGTAACAAGGTTTGAGGGAGGCATGTGTCATACAATAGGGTGAAAACCCAATCACTATGCTTATGAACCCCATTTCTAATCTACTGATTCTACTGGGGATCCAGACACATCAAATGAATTCTGATTGTTAAGGGAAGAGGGAGGAAATGTGAGATTTGCCTCATGTCTTTTAGGTGATAACATTCCCATTTGTGATTACTGCTCGGCTGTTGGCTGCTAATACTGGAAAATGAGATTAGTAATTGCCTTTCGGCAAGAAGTCATAGCATTAGAACTGAGAAATGTGGTCACTGATGACACTAGTTTGTTGACTCTGTGTGTGTGTGTGTGAGAATGTGTGAATGTGTATACAAGGTTCTCCTTGTCGTCTGCAGGATGGCTAGTAGATCTCCCAGTTTTCAGGAAGTTTGCTCAAAGATATTTACTTGCCTTTTACAGAGCCATATTCCCTTCTTTTGGAGAGAATTGTCCTGGGAGAAGAAGAAAGGACATTGATAAATAAGCAGTTTCATCACTGTCAAGTAATATTCAGTGAGCCATTAGTTATATGTTATGTTTAGATACCATACAAATTTTTTTCATAAGCATAAACATGAAATTTTCAAAGACAGTGTATATACATATATATGCATATATGTGTGCATTATTTATACACACACACACACATATATATGTATATACACTTATATATTTATATATAATTTTGTATCAACTCCTTATATACTGATAGGAATAAAGGAAGGCATAGAAACGTAAAGTATGTTGCCCAGGGTTGTATAGCTGGTAAGTGGTAGGGCCAGGCCTGAAGCCTGGACCTCTGGGAATCCACATTCTGGGCTCTCATAACTCTTTGAATGAACAAGCTATGGAAACCACACAAATATATTCTGAGATAAGTTTTAAAAGGTATAGAAATGTAAAGATGAAGATATATCCTGAATTTCTGTGACATTTCTTTTATAAAATATTTCCTTAGTTATTTCATTTTCCTTTTAACTTCCTTGGGAGATAAAAAGATGGAGGAATTAAGATCATATTTTAAAATTGTGTAAATAAGGCTCATAGAATTGGAATCATGAGAAACTGTGTGTTTTACACATTTGGTTCTATAGCTTGAGTCCGATGAGGGGAAGTGCCCTCTGATCAGCGCTCAGGGAGCGTCTCTGTAAGGACGGCTCAGACTCAGGGCGCGGGACCGTCATGGGACTCTGGTAACCCTGATGAACACGCTCTGTTTTTCCTCTGATGGGTAGTCAGATGAATACTTTGATGAACCATTGGGGATAGATGAGGGGACATATCAGAAAGTATGCTAAGCCTCATCCTAGAGAGGGGGAGTCCAGTTAATTTCAGGGTCCAGTTAATATTTTTGCTGAGTGGAATATGCAAGAGAGGGGCCAGAATAACTTGCTCAGGACAATTGGAGTCATGGTCACTGTGGGCATGTCTGACATATACCCAAACATCTGGATGACCCCAGGGACAATGGTGTATTATTGATGTTTGCTTTTTAGGAAAAGAAGACTTCTTTTTTTTCTGAGGTTATCAAGACCATATATTTCATGCCAAAAAATTTCTGGTGAATGTCAACCTTGCCTCTTAAACCAATATACATTACAAAAATAAAGTTAAATAAAAGTTTATCTTTTAGTCCTGTGAACTTGCTGCCCCAAAATGCCAAACAGGCAAAGAGCCGTGATGCTCTGCATCCAATTCTATGTCCTTCTGACCTTTGCATATGTGCTGGTGACATCACGATGTTAAATATGAACAGTCTTGGAGCTTTGTCATAAAGAAGTGATGACTTCTTATGTTAACTCATGGGGCATCTCTGATCAGATAGTGACAGATAACCCTGGTGCTTTGTGTTTTGAAAGATTCGGGACCATGTTGGGGTCATCTGGCCATTTACATGGCTGTAAGAGAGGGAAGACAGTTGTCTTCTTTGTTTCAGGTTGGAATGCTTTGAAATTACATCTAGTACTGTTCTTGGAAAATGCACATGGGAAGATTTGTGTATGTTTCGTGGCTTATAGTGTTTTGGCACTGAGTGAGAGGACACAGGGTGGAACACTCACCTTATTATTTTGGCTGTTGTATTTTTTTGCAGAGTTCATGCTCAAGACTTTTGATCTAGGGGGAAATGAACCGAGATAGGGGTTGAATAAAGTACACTCAAATATTCATACTACATAATGATTATTTAAAAAGTTTTACATTCTAAAGCTGTGCTGTCCACTATGGAAGTCAGTGGCTACATGTACCTGTGAACATTAAAATTAATTAAAATAAAAAAAAAATCAGTTCCTCAGTCACACTAACCATGTTTCAGGTACTCAGTAGGTGGCCATTGGCTATTTATTTATTGGGCAGCTCTGTTCTAGAAACTTAGTTTAGCTTAGCACTGAAGCCATTCTTAATGTTCAAGAAGGCTCTCAGGAAACTTGAAGGTATCCTTCAGAATTCCAAGAGCAGGTACCCTGTGGCCCTCCCAGGCCGCAATGCATACCAGGGCTATTTAGAGGCGGTATGAAGTTTGGGTCTCTTTACCTCGATCCCAAGATTCTAAAATATTTAATAAATATAAGTACTTCTTGACTAAGTTAAGATGTAACTTCTAAAAAGGGGCCAAGAAATGGGAGTGAGATTTTTGACTTTGTTTTCTCACCATTTCAATTCTAGACAAACTCAGAAAGGAGGGGCTTTTGTCTTACCATTTCTAACCTTTAATGGTCACAGTTTAGTAGTTAATATAGCGTACAGTTTGAGTTTTGTAATATGATGGCCTTCGTGTGTCTAGAGGTTAGTTTCATGCCTATCTTATATGGCTTAGTCTCTATGTTTTTGGGGAAATGAGGGTGGTATTAGTTTAAAGGGCTTTTCTGTGAAAGTAGGAATGTCCTACTCATCAGAGTGCCTGACCACCAGCCCTTTTAAAATCAGATGTTCCTGCCCTTAATATAAACCTGAATAATTGAAAATGTGATAAAAGCATGAAGGGAGATGTGTTTCTGTGGTTTTTTAAGGAAGGATGGAAGAAGGACCTGCATTTTAAAGTTGGTGTGGTTTAGTGGGAGTCAAACAATCACTAACAGAAGGGAGAGAGATGTGGTGTTGGGGCTCACTCAGTCCCAAGTAGGAATTGGTCAGAGGAATGTTTGCTCTGACCCAGGCTGAGATGGAGTTACCACTAAAACCAAGAAGTTCCTTTTTTTGCCAAAACTCACACTTCTCTCTCAAGGAGCCGAGTCTCTGCTTCTTCTTCTATTTTCCTCCAAGTTTCCTGGTACTTCTTCCAAGAGAAATAAAAGAAACCACAGTTACTAATTAGAAGCCTTACACTTTTTCTAATCATAAGAAGCATGTATTATTACGTGGTAACATGAATGTTTGGTCTCCTTTTCCAGCCCCGACACCCACCACCACTCCTGGTCACTCGCTGCACTTCCTACCTTCCCAGGCAGGTCCCTGGGTAATTGGCATCATGAAAGGAAAAGTGCTCATTATGAATTTAAGAGCACAGAGGTCAGGAGACCAGGGCTGTAACGGAATGATATTGGTGGTGGGTTGTCAGGGACCCAAAGTCTCTTTGTAATGTCACTTTGAAGAGTTAATATTGTCCTAGAAAGTGTTCTTTGAAAAGCCTGGTTTCATATTATCCTGTACCTTACAAACCCTTTTCTGTCCCATTACCGAGAAACTGTACCTTAATGCAGAAGACCTGATCTTTGCAGAGCTGGGCCACATGTGCATAGTCTTCCATTATCTGGGAAACCAAAATTCAGTCTTAAATTTCTTTCAGGAAATTTCTCTAAGAACAAGAGTATACTTGTTTCCTCCTAAATCCCAGACCCTAAATGTAGTTTTCTAATTGTTCTAAATATGTTTTTGCTGTATATATGAACTGATTTTTTTTTTAGGATAGATAAGCTTTATTTTGGGGGGGATTTTATTTTGGGACAGTTGGGAGAAGAATAGATACTAATTTGTTGAAGATACAGATATGGAACATATCCTGTAAAAATTATTGAAGAGAAGGAAACCTAGGAGACTGCATTTATCTTCCTTTCCTTCATCCCCTCCTCAACCCCATAATGGTTCTGGATCTGGAGCCTTATTATGTATAACTCAATCATTTGCAGAATGTATTGCATCGTCTAACTGAACATCAACTTTTCCTTCCTCTGGGAGAAGTAATACTGAAATTACTACCATCACCTTGGCCAGTTCCTTCTCTTGGTCAGCACAGGAAGCTTCCAGCTGTTGTAACTTAACCTACAGAAAGGGAAGGAGATGGATAACTCAAGGTGCAAGCAGGATTCCATTCTGAAATGCTGTCTCAAAGGTTATCTTACAGGTGGTTGACGTGCATCAGGTATGATATCAGATGTCTTTTTAATGGAGGAGAGTCAAACCATGCAGCGTCCTTCTGGTGAACCTGCCCTTCTACACTCCCAAGCCCTTAGCATTCATCAGGGCTCCACTCACGCTTAAACTACAATTCTTAGCTTCCTTCCTTCTTAGCTATTTCTCTTAGGGAAAACATCAATCTTGAAAAACTTCACTCTTCTTTTTCCTTTTATATACTTACTGCTCACTCCTTTTTTGCTCCCCGTATTCCTTCTTCTTTCTTTTCCTTCCTTATTTGATGAAAGCCTATTCTATATTGGTGGCTATGTTGGAGTGATGGGCAGAGGGCCATGAGAGTAGAAAGGGTACAGTGGTGAACAGGATTGACAGGCAGAGTCTCTGCCTCACAGAGCTGACATTCTAGTTGGGGACATTAACAGATAAGTCAACATGATAATGATAAATGCTATGAAAGAAATACAAACAGAGAAATGTAGTGATAGCGATGGCATGAGAGCTATCATAGCTGAAGTCCTGTCTGATGAGATGATACTGGGTTGAAATCTAAATGGTAAATATTAGCCAAATGGAGATCTGGAAGAAATACGCCCCATGCAGGGTTGCAGCAAGAGCCAAGACTGTGAAAGAGCACATATTTAGTGTGTATGTGGAAGTTATGTGGCTGGAGCATGGGGACACACCTGGGAAGGAGAAGATGAGGTGGGGAAAGGTTGACCTGGGTGAGATTATGTAGGGCCTTGTGGCTTCTAGAGTTTGGTTCCGTATTTTAATTGCAGTGAGAAGCCAGGTGTGAACTCGAAGTAGTAAGGACATAATCTGATTTGTGTTTTTAAAGAATAAGTCTTTTCTATGTGTGAAAAGTAGATTAAGGGTAAGAGCAGAAGCAGGAAGACTAAGAGGCTGATTTGGCATCCAGGCAAGGGCTTATGGTGGCTTGCAGAAGGGTAATGTAGCAGAGGAATAGATGTGCTCGGGGGATATTCCCTCGTTAGAGCAGACAAGCCTGCGTTTTTCCTTCCTTCCACTTTTAGCTCTACTGTTCCCACTTTGATCTAGTACCATTGTTTCACATGTGAAGACTTCTAACAGTTCCTTTCCTCTTCAGTCAATTATACCGAGGGCCAAAGAGCCAAACGTGCTAAGGGCTGTATTTTCAGGACGGTGGTCTGAGACACAAAGAGGCGCAGCAGGCCTACCATTAAACTGATGAGCTGATTGCCAGGATGTAAGAACAGAAGCAAGAGATGCTATGGATTTCATAGAATTAGAGAAATCACTTGAGAATTCTACAGCGCATGTAGGCAAATGGGAGTAATCTAAAGGGTCAGTAATGCTTTAGAGTTCTTTGGAGGTGGGCTAATAGCTTCTGGGAAAATAATGGCCATTGTTGTGACAATACCTGGAACTACCTATAGTCTTCCTGCTCAGCTGAGGTGACACAGCATCACCAGACTTAAAGCCTTGCCATGGGCTCTGCTGGGCTGCTGTCAAGAAAACTTGTTTTGAGCAGAAGGAAGCCAATGCACTTAGTTATACGGCAAGGCTAGTCAAGGGGCTTCATAAGCCTTTCTAACCGGAGCCCCAAGTTTATCCTGAAGCACATGCAGGCTCCACATTTCTTCCTTTCCAGATACATTTCCTGGACAGGCATGGCCAAGCAAGCTGTTTGGGTGGCTTTGGACTTCCTGTTTTGTGTGTGTTTTTTTTGTGGCCATCAGTACTAACTTGGCTGACAGGAAATAGGGAATTCTCTATTTTTCACTTTGTATTTCTATTTTCAGTGTGTCCATATCTGCAGGGCCTCCACAGACGTAGTATGGGCTTAAGTGTGAGCTTAAGAAGCTAAAGAGAAATAAGGCAGGGGAAGATGGAATTCTACAGAAAATATCAAGTAAGAATTGTACCTGCTTTCTGAATAAAAAAATAAGTCCACCTTTTTGCATCTTTGATCAGATGGATTGTGGTTGTGCCCAGGTTTTTATCTTTGGAACACAATTAGAGAAATGCTAAGCAATGTATGCTACACTCAGCAGGTAGAGGTCACTAAATATTTGAGTGGTAAATTGAATGAACCTTTTCTGGATGGGGGTCAGTGATAGAGTGTGTAAATTACCTAGCACACAGTAGATTGACAAATCCTAGCTCTGCTCTATGAATTCATACATTTGCCTCAGCTAGACTTTTAAATAATCACGTTAAATATGTGACATTTCAAGGTTTTACTCTTCAAAAAAAGGAGAGTTAAAAATGCACAATTTCATTCAGTTTTTCAAACTGAGGCTGGAAGGGGCTGATTAAATTGCCCAACTTCATATACCTCACTAAGTGCTGGGACCAGGATATAAACCAGGGACTTCAGTGTTATATATGCATTGTGCAGTTGTGTTCTGCTCTTCCTGAAGGAAGAGAAACAAAATGTATGGCTTCAGAGTGAAATTCCTTACCAAGGGCAGAAAAGAATTCAGTACTCAGTAGCCTAGGCTTAAGTCTGACATGGGCTAAAACTACAAAGAATTTATCCCAGTTTTGATAGTTGTTTCCACGTAAAAGCTTGCTTCCTGGTCATGTAACCCAAACCCACTCAAGATTGCTTTTTCATTTACCTTTGACTCTTCTAGTGCTCCCTTTAGATGGCCTTGTTCACACTTGGTTGCCTTTTGCGATTTCCTTGTAAGCTATGATTTTAAATAAATACATATTTCAAATAAAAATACATCAAATAAAAAATTCTAGAAGACAAACACACTGTTTGGTGTGTAGAGCCAATAACATGGCCTTGATAAAGCTCCCAGGAAATGGTCCCTTAATGGATACTTGGTGCCCTTGGAAACATCTTTATTCTACCTCCGTCGTCTTCTCACTAGTCTTGGCCACCAGAGCTAGAGTCTGCACAAGCAGGAGTACTTCCCTGAACCCTGTGCCATTCCAGGCTACAGAGGGCTGCAGGCATGGGTCAGAAAGTAGGGCAATCATAGGAAACCCGCTGTATTTTGAGCAGGAGTTGAGGTGGAGTGAATGCCTGGATAAGGGAAGGGGAAGCCCTTGGGATTTAAGTATTTTAAAAAGTCTGTTGAAAATAAAATTAACCTTTCACCTTCCGACAAAGTGTCAGTGGATTCCATTTTCTTGTGATAGAATGAAAAACCCACGGGATCACCAAATAGCCCAAATGTTGCACCAACTCCCTTCACCTCATGCTTGGCATTCAGGTACGAGGCTCAGCCTCAGGAGAGTGGGGCAGGGGTAGAACCCACCCCCAGCACAAACTTTTCTGACATGTGGGATCCTCTATGATCATTTTCCCTCCCTTGTCCCTTTGACAACTGGAGCCGCTGCGGGGAACGTGGGGAAAACTAGAGCCCCAACCCACCTTTTTTTGAAGTTCTCTTATACCGTGCACCAGGGTCTCATTTTTCCTTTCCTGTTGAGAGAAAGAAGCAGAGCATAGGTGTGGAGCTCCCTGCTGCCACCCATCTTTATTCAGCTGATTGTTCTCCCTTTCACCTGGGGCTGTTTCCCTGCAGTAACTCTACCTCACTGCATACTGTCAGGTAAAGGACCTGTGGTTTGATTTCCACATATATATGTATACCAACTCACCAGGATAGACATGCCCACATGCAGGGCTTCCCAATATTAAATATTACCAAAGAAACTGTGCCCTCAACACATATTTTACCATGTCTTTTGACTATTCTTTGCATGTAAAAAAGAGGAGACTAGCTTATCTGATGACTGATGAGAGACAAGCTGAGGAATAACACCTATCAGATGGCTCTTCCCAGCTTTTTGCTTACAAGTCTGGCTATTTCTTCTTCCAGG